TTTTATGAACTTATAAATAGTGATGCAAATAAATGTTAATAAAGCAGATTTGGCAGTTAAGTGAAAGATTGATGTGACTCACCCAAAGAGAGTTTATTCCCAGAACACAAGGATATCTCAACATCAGGAAATCAATTCATACAATTGTACATATTAACAGATCAATTCAGAAAAAAGCCACAGTCATCTGAATAGATAGAAAATTCAACATTCTTTCCTGATTAATAAGACCTATAGTAAAATATAAATAGAAGTATACATTTTAACATGATAAAAGTAGTTAACGCATGTATGACAAAATTTAACTCCTTCATATATAAAGTGCTTTTATAAAGCAACAAGAAAAAGATACATCCAATAGAAAAATAATACTAGGAGGAAAATCACAAACCAATTATCCCCCAACCATTGAAAAAAATGTTCAACTTCATCAGTATTTTAAGGAAATGTAAGTGTAGGCTACAAAATAAATAGTTTAAGATATGATATTGGCAATGATTAAAATGCTTATTCAGTATTGGTGAGGTTGAACTAAATGGGCTCTCTTCTCTGGCTGGAAGTTGTGTACATTGATAAAGTAATTCAGGAAGGTAATTTTTCAATATATTAAAAAGCATTAAAAGTGCATAGACCCTTTGATATAGAAATTTCATTTTCAGGAGTTATATCTAAAAATATCACAACATAAGTGCTCACAAAATTCAGCAACAGGATTATCAAAACATTATATTTTATAATGGAAAAATAGAAATGAATCAAATGTCCATCACTAGAAAATAGTTACAAAAATTATGATTAATCCAAATAATATTATTCAACCATCAAAATTAGTGTTGCTCATGAATACTTACTCATATGGAGGATGTTTAAGATGAATTAAGTGATAAAAGCAAGGCTTGAAACAATGTAACAGTATAATCTTGTTTGGTTTAAAATTATCTATCTACATCAATATCAGTCATGTATCTATTTATCTACCTACCTATCTGAAAAAGGTGGGAAGACTATTATGATGTTAATGTTAATTATCATCCATAGGTGTTTTAAAATTTTTTATTTATTATTGTGCATTATATATTTTGTATTACTTTTTCTTTTCAGAAAATAAAGTATTGCTTTTGTAAGAAAAAAGCAAATGTTATTTTAAGGTAAAAGTGTATATATATATATTCTCTCTTTGTTTAATATGCTTTTTATAAAATGAATCTTATAATCCAATTAGAATATGAACAAAATAGAAAACTGGCTGTAGGCAATTACCAAAATAAAAACTATTAATGACCTAGGAACAAGAAAAATTTGACCTCACCAGTAATATAAAAAGTGAAATTAAAAAGAGATTTTCTTTAATAACCAGACAAAAGGTTTCTAAAAAACAGAAAATTAATTCTGTATAATAGCAAATGTTTAGGCTATGAGATCTCTTGTACAATGCAGAAATAGGAGCGATATTTCTAGTGAATATGAAGCTACATAACAAAAGTGTTAATATTGTGCATGCCATTTGGCCCAGATATTCCCTTTCTCAGAATTTTCATAAAGAGAAACGTGGACATGCACAAATAAGGATGATCATTACAGTATTGTTTGTAATGGTGAAAATTAGAAAAAATGTAAATGTTCAAAAATAAAAGATTGATTAAATTACAGTATATTCACAAAATGGAATATCATTCAGAAATTAAATTGGATTTTTAGAAGAATATTTAATGACATGGAAAAGGTTCATAACAAAGTAAAAAGGAAGTATTCTTTTTCTGCTCTCCCACAATACAAGAGAATATGTTTTTTGGTGTCATGTGCAAAATACCCTGGTATCTTGCCATGTTTGGTATCTGACCATGTAAAATTACTGCTGATGCCTTACTGATGTCTATTCTGGCACTTGGTAACAGTGGCACTGTGCATATCTTTCTTTCTTATCCCTTTTTGAATTTATATAATGATTCTAATATGGGAAAACATCTATTATTAAAAATGGAAACGATACTGGTAAATAACGCATCCATATTCCTGTGATCCAGAACATTAGTGTAAGTTCTACGGTAATAAGTTAGTGATCTTAAATTGAAAATGCAATTAGAACACATGAAAAAATAAACACTCCACCTATTGTACATTATGAATAACTTAAATCGATGATGCTAAAATATACATTTTTCGTTATTCATTAAAAAGCCTTGGATAGGGAATTAATAGAATAAGGGGTATAGTGTGTGCTTTGAAACTACTTAAAGATTTCAAATCGCTTCCACATAGTTACTGAGTTGTTTCCTCTAAAAATGTATAAAGGCACCACAATATAGTGACTGAGAACTTGGCTTTTTTTGGTCAAAAACTAGGCTCTATTGCTCTTTGTGCTTGGGCCAGTTACACAATCTCTATTTACTCACCTAAAAAATGGACATAATGATTATACCAACATCACAGGGATGTTCTGATATTTAAATTCATGTATTTAAAGGCCTTAGTATATGCATAGTAATCTTTCAATAAACACTAGCTGATATTATACATTTATTATGGCTTTTACCATATTTCCTGTTGGCCTGATTTCCATGTTGTTCTTTTACAATACAGCTTTAGCAGCGGAGAAAACCCAAGGCCCTCTTTGAGATTTGCAGAGCATATGTGATATGCATATGTAAACCATCTAAAATATGCCATGGCTATCTACACTAATGTTCTATTCTTGCTGATGGCCCTCTCCAACTTTTTTGCTTTGTTGGCTTCTTTCTGTTTTGGGCTCATGCTGCAACTTCATTTTATCCAGCCCTTTGGATGACAGGATCAGTTTTGGACTTACAATCATGATTTTCATCTCTTTGACTCTCTAGGTCTCAATCCTAAGTTCTGACTTCCTATTTATGAATAAGAACCATGAATGACTGCCCCCCTTACTGTCGTTGTAGCCTATAGGATCTGCTCAGGCTTGCAATGAGAGGAAGTTCTGATAATAAACTGGTGGGCTTGGGTAACTGGCTGATGGGCTGAAGGGAGGAGGATGTGAGCAGGAGGATTTTAGGAAGTAAAACTGATAGAATCTTGGGGATGAAGGAGAGGACAAAGTCTGGGGTAATTTCCACATTTTTGTCTTGGTTGCCTAGAGAGACTGTGAACAAGGAATGGCAGGTTTCCCAGCAAAGATATCAAGTTGTTGCACAAGGAAGATTTGGGGATTTCTGGTAGAGATTTCCAGCTGACAACTAGAAATCTGTTTTCAAAAATTAGACCATTTCTCCATTGCCCTAACTACTAATTAGTTTGAATTAAAGTGAGCTGGTGTAGAGTAGACAGACTGCTATTTTCTCTTCCCTGTTTGTGTTTATTTGTCAGAAGAACTAGGGTTTGTGCTATATTAGGAATAAACTCATATCATTTATGTTGGACTTAGATAAAGGTATATTGTGCGGGGCTCCACTGAGAAATATGAAGCTCCAGGAATCTGAGTTCCAGAGGTTTTTTAAAAAAATCATAAAATATAACAAGATATGTTAATACATCATGCAGAAAGTTGTTAAGCAGCACTATATTAATTCTATGGCCAATCAAATTGGTTTCTAAAAGGAAAAAAATGTCAGAACACACAAAAACATTAGATTTGAAATAACTTGGAGTCACAGAAACATCTTGTGACATCCCATACAATAAACTATGGTTAAGAGGCTTGAAACTATGGCAGCAAAACTAATAGATGACAAATTTGAAATGTGTGGCTTCACAGGCAAATATAGAGGAAAATGGTAATACTTTGCAAAACGCATATATATACACATCAATCTACAGTGTTAAAATATTTTTGTTTCTTCCATGGTGTACTGTATGTATGAAATAACAGGGGAAAAAATAAAAAGGAGAGAAGGGTCAGAAGGAGGGAGAAATAAAACTTAAAGGAAAGGAAAAGGTGCTAATAAAATTATCAAAGAAGAGGGTAAATTGATAACATACAAAAACTTTTTTTCAGAAAAAGTGGAGGAATAAAATAAGCAGATTAAATTTGTGACAAGTGCACACAAAGAAAAACTTGTAAAGGAGAAGCACAAAGACAGAAAAGCAAACTCAAAACCACAGTAAGAATATAGCCTTGCTGATTCGTCATTTTATTCCTTAGAAACCCTCTATCAATAAAGTATAAGCATAATACTGTAGAATACAAACAAATACAAAACTATGCATTAAATGCAAGAAAGAATTTTAACAAAAAACTAACACCCGTCTTTGGGTGAGGAGAGAATGAACAGTTTTTCCTTCTTTTTAGTTTTCTATACTTTACCCAAATGTCTTACATGAAGATATGCACAGGGAATTAACTCTATTTAAAAACGAAGCTCTGAATCCCATTTCGTATTAAAATTTAATTCAGCAGAACCTTGCTCTGTGGCCAGCTGCTGCGGGAACTGAACAGGATGCCATTCGTCCCTGTACGATGTGTGTTGCAAACTTTCCCCATGAGGAAGAACTTATCTCCTGTTATCTGACACATTTCCTAGCCTGTGTTTCCAATCACCGACTTTCAGTGGGGGTCTGTCTGCCACATGGGTTGTGCAATCTTCACTTTTCGGGGGGAAAAAACAACAGGCTATTCATGTCTACTATTTTTTCTTTGCTATCCGGGTCTCCTTGGGCGTCTGGTACAGGATTCCTCTAGCTCACAGAGTCTGAAAGGAGAGGGCAGCATTTTATTTGAACATCTTCAACCTCAGACACTCACGGTTCCCTCTGCCCTCTCACACATGCGTTCCAGAATTCGGTGTATACTGGCGAAACTGGGTCTGTCGGCAGGCACCTTGCTCCAACACAGACGCATCAGGTTGTACAGCTCCAGAGGGCAGTTCTCAGGGCAGGAGAGGATGTTGCCATCTCGCACGTAGTAAATGACCTCTTCGTGGGCCATCCCATAGTAGGGCTGCAGGCCGTAGGAGAAGATCTCCCAGAGGACCACACCGTAGGCCCACACGTCGGACTCGGTGGTGTAGCGGTTATAGAAAATGGACTCTGGTGGCATCCAACGGATAGGGATAGCGTCGTTTTCATTAGCTTTGTAATAGTCTGCTGAGTAGATGTTCCTGGAGAGGCCAAAGTCAGCAATTTTGACCACCATGTTCTCACCCACCAGGCAGTTCCTGGTGGCCAAATCCCGGTGGACAAACTTGCGCTCTGAGAGGTAGGCCATGCCGGCTGCTACCTGCCGGGCAATGCAAAGCTGCTCAGCACAGGAGAGGGGTGGGGGTCCGGGGCTGGAGACCTGAGCCCTCGTGGACAAGTCACTGTGACTGAGGCTGCACACGGTGTGGGGGGACATGCTGCGGAGGAACTCGTTGAGGTCGCCATAGGCCATGTATTCAAAGAGCAGACACATAGGCTTCCCGACAGCACATACACCTGGAACAAGAAGAGCATCCTCTGTTAGCCGTGGTTTCCACAATGGCACATGGAAAAGAGTGCTCCAAAAGCAAATGACCAGATCAGAAAACACAGGGCCTTGGTTTTTTGTTGACAGTACCATATCCAACCCTGACCACATGTCTTTGACTGAACAGAGCCTATTTACCTTTTAAAATTCAGCTTATTTATCACTCTCCCTAGGGTGCCTCAGCTCCTGACCTGCCCCAGGATCAGATTTTCCTTCTACCATCCTTTTACATAGTACCTCCCATCCTATTTTATAATCATTTGTTTATTTGAGGTTTCTTTTCAACATTTTAACACATTGAAAGGAGAGATTATGTCTTATTTTTCTTTAACTTCCCCACCTCTGCCACGCGTCTGGCAGAGTAGGAGCTCGATAATGTCTGGTGAATGAATTTATGAATGGATGCTTGCTCTGGGTATGTAACGGAATTGCTCCGTGTTTCTGTATACTTCTCTGAAGAATAATAATAAGGAAGATGTTGTATAAAGTTTGGAAAGAATAACAAAAACAATCCAAGATTCCTAGATGAACTATTTAGGTTGCTGCAGTAAAACATTTTGATATTTACATTTACACTGTTCATTCTACAAAGAAAAAATGTAAATATCAATAGAGCCTTAGATTTAATACCAGGAGAGCATTTGCAAATCTTACGATCTTGATAGATTTGCGAGAGAAACTGGAGAACCTGCTTAGAATATTAGATCAGATGGGCACAATTTCACTTCCCCATAAAAATAGATTATTCGATCTATTTTTTTTTTCAGGCAAAAATTAGAAGTCTCTTTGAAAAAGAGAAGAAATAAGGAATACTGTTATCTTGGCGTATTTATTTTGGTGTTAGGTTTTTCTTCCAGAGACTTTAGCAATCAGCGTATTTATACATAATAAGGGGAAAATTAGAGAAATGTTAGCTGAGTCATACTTAGAAATTTCTTCTTCATGATCCTCTTTGGATTATCTTTAGTTAACAGGGATTTACCTGTCTCATCAACTGACTTTGCCACTGCTAGGCTGGTTGAGTTGACTTAAAAAGATTTTCTTATATTGGAAAAAAATAGTAACATATTTCTCTGAGATATGTTACTCATGAGAAAGATTTCTTTTTGAGCTGAGGTTATTTAATGAAATGCTCCACTCTTTGATATAGAAAATATTATATGGAAGATTTCTATTTTATGATGGTTATGAACAATTACATATGCATATACATATAATTTATAATGGATGGATGGATTTAAAGTTTGATGGATGGATAAATTTAAAGATGGATGGGTAGATGGTTAAGTGTAAGAAAACCTCATGCCTAGTCCAAGCCACATCTTGAAACTTTAGCATGACATTTCAACAAATCATCTCACCTCATTGTTCTACTGTTTTCTGAACTGCCAGAATATTGGGTAACAGTCTGTGATCTCTAATGGCTATTCCTATTCTAAAATTCTGCATATCTCTGTATTCATATCCATTTTCTCCAATTTATAAAACCATTATACACTAGGATTTCAATAAAAGGGAATCAATTTTTAAGATACATGTTCTATAAGTGCATAATATTTCAAATGTGTAAAATAAAGCAAATTTCTTTTATTAGAAGTGAATTTTATGGATTTTTCCAATTCCCCTTCCTTCCACTATTGTCATTTTATTTAAATGGTACTGACATCCAAGAAACTGTGAGAGTAGTGGAATCACATGCATGAATGATTACTGTCTATGCATGCTCAAATAAAAAACAGACCCTGTGTTCATAGGACATTGAAATGACATTTAGATATAACATTTAACAAACGGTAATGTAAGTGTGAGTTCTTGTTGGGCAATGAAAATGATATAAAACACTCAGTAGTGATGTATAAACATGATACCACAGTAACCATAAATTTGTAAATTGTACATAGTCTGTGTTTGAAACAATCTCAGGAATTCAGAATGTTAGGAAATTGCAAATACTTATATATGAATGCAGAATCAACACTTTATTGTTTCTTAAAAATTATTCTTCAACAGGAAAATTTCTTAGTTTCATGCTCATTGCAGATCATTGTCAAAGGTTTTCAAATTACACAAAATTCAAAAAGCAGGAGTACTTATTTCTTCAGTATCTCGCTCATGTTCTAGTACTATATTTTCTACGGCTGATAGATGTTAAACAGGCATCTCAAAACCAGTGTGATAGGAGACACTTGGTGTTCCTCCTGAATCTTCAACTCTTCCTGGTATTTCTAGCTCACAGTGTTTGGGTAAGTGTTTAAGACAGAGAGCCACAAATAAAACAGCTGGTTTAAAAAGCCTTATCAGGTGTGGTTTTGTGAAAGTTGAGTTTGAAGTAGCTATCAAGATCCAGCAAACAGCAGAC